AGGCAATTGATTCCAGGCCAAATCAGTTAATTCTTTAAAAAAAATTGTTGTTGTTACATTTAGAGTGTGTGTGTGTGCGTGTGTGTGCGTGTGTGTGTGCATGCGTGAGTGTGTGTGTGTATGCGTGTGTGTGTATGCGTGCGCATGTGTGTGTGCAGTGTGCATGCTCATCCCAGCTGTAGAAGTCAGAGGTCAGTGTGCAGGAACCGTCCTTGGCAGCAAACTCTTCTACCTGCTGAGCCGTCTGCCTGTCCCCAGATTATCTTTTAAGAGTACCTCCTCCTCCATTGCTTGCTACTGTTTCTCATTTTTTTCTGTACCTAAAATTTCCAGGCCGAAATATTTGCTGTTTCAACCTTAGAATGGGCTGTTTCTCCTAGGAGTATTTTTTTCCTTTTAGTGGGAAATGATAGCTAGCAACCAACATCTCAGTGTTAATGAGCTTAATCAATTCCCCAAGCAAACAAGTTAAAAAGAGGCTGGTCTATGGTGCTGTTTGTAAAAGTGACAAGATGAAGTGAAAGTATATTTGGGGCTCCTAATAGGAGGGGGTTGAGTGGGAGTCCACAGATCTCCAAGGGGGAGGTGAGTCCCGTGAGCTGCACAGGTGTGGTTAAAGCCATCCAGCCACTCAAGGGCTCAGTAGGCGTGTTCCAGAAAAAGTCGGACGATGGATTCGAGGACCAAGTATTCTTTCTTGCTGATGCTTTGGCCAGGGTCTTGCTGATGACAGGGGTGCTCCAGCACATTTGACTTCAGGTATCTTGATTTTTTTTCAGATCTTCGTTTCCAGGGCTTTCTTTCTGGGGTGTTTTCCACCTTATTGGCTAGTTGCATAAATCAGTTCATGAAAGACTCCCCCAGAGGAGCCCTTCCTACCCAGAAGCACTGGCACAAATAACTGCAAGCAGAAAAGATGCCATTCCTTTTGAAGAGTCCCCATGCCAGGCTCAAAAGTGATACTGTGTTAGTCATACGACTTTATACCTTCCGCCCGGAGAGCACAGAAAGGCTCCTAATGGCTTGCCACGTTGTGCCTTTTGGAAAGACATCGTCTCTGTCTATTCTAACCACCGACTGTGAAATAAACTTCAGAAACTGAAGGTGGGGAGCAGAGCAGGGGAAATCAAAGTGAGGCCAGGATCAAAGGGAAGAAGAGCCCCTGAGATCTCAAGGGGGAAGTAGAGCCATTGACTCCCCTGGGCTGCCTTTTCCTGGTTTCCCCTTTAATAAACACCCTGGGTTCCTCCACCAGGTCCTGGGCAGCCCAGAGAGGGCCCAACTCCAACTACAAAGAGAGCAGGGGAAGAGAGCACTTAGCACTTGGGGAGGGAAGACAGGCCTCTGATATTTGGGTGTTGGGGATGGAAAAAGTCGGGCAGGGGGGAATGTGGAAGATGCTGAAGGGACAGCAACAATGGGCTTGTCTGTCCCAGCCCGGCTGTGGCTCTGGGTGGCCAAGGCTTCCCCAGGGCACAGGTGTGTCTGAGAATTGCCTTCTGTATCACCCAGTCCTCACCTGTGTCTGTTTCAACAGACGTTATCAACACCAAATAGAGTAGTGGCCCGAAGCATTTAGCACATCATAGGTCCTGACTCTGGGCTTGGAGTGGGCACATCCAGACCTTAATCTCGGCTACGGCTGTCTGAGCTCGCCTTGAACTTCAATCCACTATTCAGTAACCAGGACACTGGTCTGTTGCTGCTTTTGAGGATCCGTAAGCTTCACAGTGTATCTATTTATGAAGCAGCCATCACTGCAGCTGAAGGACAGCGGCTCCTGGGTGGCAGAGACCCATGTCTCTCACCTCCCAAGAAGACTGGGGTCTAATGTTACCATGGAGTCACATCTGAAGGTCAGTTTGGCCACACCATCTCTTCAAGTTTCTGGGCTTTGATCTGGATTGTGGCGTATTTCTTCAAGAGTAGGATGGGGACGCACACACCTTCTATAAAAGAACTTACATAATAAGTACAGGTTAGCATAGCCATAATTGTTTTGGGCCTTTAAACAATTCACTTTAAATAATGGATTAAGAGTGAGTGATGGGGGGCTGGAGAGATGGCTCAGTGGTTAAGAGCATTGCCTGCTCTTCCAAAGGTCCTGAGTTCAATTCCCAGCAACCACATGGTGGCTCACAACCATCTGGAATGAGGTCTGGTGCCCTCTTCTGGCCTGCAGACATATACACAGACAGAATATCGTATACATAATAAATAAATAAATATAAGAAAAAAAAAAAGAGTGAGTGATGGGCTGGGCATGTAATTCAGTGGTAAGAACCTTGTTGGCATGTGCAAGGCCCTGGATTTGATCCTCAGCATCACAGAAAAAAAAAAAAGAATAAAAGTAGGTATGAAATTTCATGTTTAGGAGGCTGAGGCAGGTAGATCTCAAATTCAAGGCCAGCCTGGGCTACACAGTGAGACCCAGTCTCTAACAAATGCTGGAAGATGTAGCCAGTTGTTACGGTGCTTGCCTGGCGCACACAGGCCTTGTGTTTGATCTCCAGCATTGCATAAAATCAGGCATGGTGTGCGATGCTTATAACGAAAGCTTTGGGCAGTGGAGGTGGGAAGATCAGGTTCAAAGTCACCCTTGGCTCCATGAAGAGTTTGAAGCTAGGTAACCTGGGATACACAAGACCGTCATATATGTATGGGATAGAAGAAGGCATAGAAAAATAAAAAAAATCTGATTTCTTGTTCCATATTCTGAGTCTAAAAATCTGGCAAAGAAATAAAAGAGGAAATCAAAAAAGAGAGGTTGGAGGGGTATGTGTGTGTATGTGTGCACACGCTTGAGTATGAATGTGTGTGTTATGTGTGTGCTCGTGAGCATGTGTGCACATATATGTGTGTACATATATGTGTGTGTGTGTTAGAGAGAGAGCATGTGTGTGTTTGAGGGAAAGGATTAGTGATTCTCAACCTGTGACTCTTGACAACTTTGGGGGGCTGAATGACCCTTTCACAGGGTCCCATATTCTGAATATCAGATATTTACATTACGATTCATATCAGTAGCAAAATTACAGTTATGAAGTAACAACAAACATAATTTTATGGCTGAGGGTCATCACAACATGAGGAACTGTATGAAGGGTCACAGCTTTAAGAAGGTTGAGAGCCAGTCAGGCAGTGATGGTGCATGCCTTTAATCCCAGCACTCAGTAAGAAGGCAGAGGCATCTCTGTGAGGTCGAGGCCAGCCTGGTCTACAAAGTGAGTTCCAGGACAGCCAAGGCTACACAGTGAAATCATGCCTTGAACCTCCCCCCCCCCCCCCCCCGCTGCCTCCACGCCGCCAAAAAAGATTGAGAACCACTGGATTAGATGGAAAAGCAGGTCTGGGGTCTCAGGATCTATGTAATGCAGGAGACCAGGACATTTTCCTATTGCTACCCAACTGATGGACAACTCAAGTCTAGAACTTTGAGCAGCTGCCAGATAACTCTGTGCTTTGGCACCTGGAATAATTGCCCATCATGAAGGTACGCCCATCTGCTGCTCTTCCAGAGGACAGGGGTATAGTTCTCAACACCATGTCAGATGGTGTATGTCCCATATCCTGGTTACAGTGGACCCATTGTCCTCTGTTGGCCTCCGTGGGACCCATTGAGCAAACACAGTGTACTCAACGACTTGCCCATAAGAGGAGATGCCCTTTCCTCTGAGACCTCCTATTAGCATTGTAGAACCAGCAGGAGCAGTCCTGGGCTGTGGAACACCCCTCCCTCGGTGGAGAGCCCCTCTGAGATGGTAGAAGCAGCCCTCTGGTGCCTCTCTCTGCCCTTCTGTGGCACGCCTCTGATTTCTCTACTGAGCAACTTGGTTTCTGATTCAACAGATGCTCACTGAGAGTCTGGCCAAAGCTTTTGCAGTGTTGTATGAGGCAGATGCTCAAGGTGGGAGAGCGCTGCCTAGCAAAATCTCTCTCTCTCTCTCTCTCTCTCTCTCTCTCTCTCTCTCTCTCTCACACACACACACACACACACACACACACACTTCCAAACAAAAGCCAAAAGAGGGCAGCGGATATATATATATAGAGAGAGATATATAGATATATATCTCAATATCTCAGTGGAGGACTTGCTTAGGCTATTTATTCCAGGTTCTAGGTTCTAGCCTTGGGACCAGAGGAGTGAGGGAAACTTATATGAATACATGAATGCATGGAGAAGTCGCAAACTACAAACCAGCATTTAAACAAAACGGGAACTTCATACGAGCCTCAGGGGACAAAGGAAATCGTAATGGCATTAGAGGGCACAGAAACTTCAAGATACGGTTTTATTTTCCTCTTCTGAGCACTGTCCGACTCTCTAGGAGCGCTAACCTGGTCCAATTCAACCCGTCCAGTTTACAGCCGCCTTCTGGACATGTCACAGATATTCTAGGCAGGAGCATCGTTTCTGCTCAGGATGCCTGCCCCCTTTGAGGTCTCGTTATCTTCACCCCCCCTCGGATTCAGGATGTGTCAGGATGGTTTGGCAGAGGGCAGGGCCAGGCTGTTTGACCAACCTGGAGTAAGGTCTAGCACATAGCAGGGGTGGTAAACAGTACCTTTGATGGTGACAGGGGATAGCAGGCCAGGCTCAGGGCTGGGACCTGAGAACCCGGCCCCTGGAGTGATCCGGACGCTCTCGAGGGAGGCTTTCCGACCCAGAAGAAGGTGCTCTGTTCAAAAGTGGCCCTCACTTGGGGCGTCCCCTCCGAAGCATATCGGTTGTGGTATGTGGATTGGTGGTCGGGCTGGCGGGCGGATGGGCGGGGAAGGGACGGAGTGGCCGGGCTCAAGTTCGCGCCTCCCTCCCTCCGTCCCCAGGTCAGCGGAAGCGATTATTCCCGCGGCGTCTGGCTGGGCTGGGGCGGGCTCGCACCCCAAGGAGACGTGGCCTCCCGCGCCCACGCCTTTGATGGCGCCGCCGCCCCCTCCCCGGCCCCGGGTGGCTATAACTGAAGGAGCACGGGGGTCACGGGAGGTGTCCGGGAGCCATGGCCGCAGCAGGGTCCCAACAACTCCAGTTTGCCGAGGGTGCTGCTTTCCCCGCCTTCCCGGCCGCGCACCTCGGAGGACCGCAGCTTCCTTCCACGCGCCCTGCTGCCGGGCTGCCCCCTGCGCCCCAGGACCCCCGCGCTCCAGCGGCCACGCCGTGCTTTCCAAGCGGAAGCCCGGGACCGGCAGCGCAGAACCCCGCCGGCCTGGATCAGCCCGGGCCCCGCAAAGGTGCGGCTGCCCCGTCGGCACCCCAGCGCCGCAAGCGCACATCGTTCAGCTCCGAGCAACTGCAGCTGCTGGAGCTCGTCTTCCGCCAGACCATGTACCCCGACATCCACTTGCGGGAGCGCCTAGCCGCTCTCACGCTTCTCCCTGAGTCCAGGATCCAGGTGAGTCGGGTTTGCAGGTGCGTGCTAGAGTGGAGGTCCTGGGGAGTCACGGGCTTATTGAGTCATTTTTTTTCGGGGTAGGGGGGTGGACAAGTTACTCTCTTACTCTCTTTGAATCTTATGATACTAGACTACTAAATAGGGATGCCAGTAACGGCCTTGTTACCGTGTAATTTGGGCTGCTAGGACGATTACTGACCCCCTCGAAAGGTACCCGCAGGAAGGCCAGGGGAAGTAGTTGAGCACTTTGTTCAGTAAGAAGACAAAGGAGGGGGCGTGGTCGTGAGCCTTCCTCTGACATTGATTTTAAATTGTAGAGCAGGGTTGGGTCACCAGGTACTTTAAGACAAGCAAGGGACTTCTTGTAACTTTGAAAAATCGAGTGCAAAGTGAGTTTATTGTCCGAAGTCATTTAGGTTCAGAATCCTGAGGTTGCTGGAAGAAACTGCCTCCCTCTTGTGTGTGTGTGTGTGTGTGTGTGTGTGTGTGTGTGTGTAGTGATATTTCATTTGTATTTTAATAAAGCTTTCCTGAAGATCAGAGAATAAAACAGCCACCCTTGTCAGCCTTATAGACCAGGGAGTGGTGACAAACACCCTTAATCCCAGTAGCCACACTAGTTGGTCAAAGAAACCTGGAGGTAGTGGTGCACGCCTTTATTCCCAGCTCTAGAGAGGAATATAAAACAGGAGGAGACAGCTCTCAGTCTCATTCTGAGGATTCCTGAAGGCAGGATCACCATTTTCGGACTGAGGTAGAGGTAAGAGCCAGTGAGTGACTGTTTTGCTTTTCTGACCTTCAGGTTGAACCCAAATATCTGTCTCTGGGTTTTTATTAATCGTGCTACATTTGTGTGTGTGTGTGTGTGTGTGTGTGTGTGTGTGTGTGTGATTGAGACAGGTTCATGCTGGGTAGTCAGGCTGGATTTGCATTCACATTCCTCCTGTCTCAGCTTCCTGGCTGCTTGGATTACAGGTGTGTCTCCCCACACCCAGATTAGAAACTTGCCTTCTTATCTGTTAGTCTATGCCCAAATGCAGTTTTATGTGGGAGGCTTCATTTAATCCCAGGAACATGTGGGCCCCCTTTTCCCCATGTACTTTGGGTAATTATTCAACTGTCATATCCCCCTCCCCTCCTCCCCCGCCGACAGCATTTCTCTGTGTAGCCCTAGACATTCTGGAACTCACTCTGTGTACCAGGCTGGCCTCAACTCAGAGACTCACCTGCCTCTGCTTCCCAGGAGTCCTGGAATTAAAGGTGTGTGCCACCACCACCACCACCCAACTTCAACTGTCACTTTCAACAGTTGTCACCAGAGGCTTCCTAAGCAGGACACCTTTAGTGTTCATAGAGAACTGGCTAAGAAATTTACACACGAATTGAGATTTATTAAGGAAAAATACCTACTTGCTTTGATAGGGGAGTCCAGACATTCAAAAATGGGCTCTAAATAATTTAAATGTCTGTCACTGAAACCTTGTTGCCTAAGGACTTTGGGTGCCTGTATTTTGTGACCTCTTTTCTCATCAGAAATGTCCCAAATAAAGTGTAGACAGACGCTATGGGTGGCACATGCCTGAAATCGCAGCATTTACGAGCTAGAGGCAAAAGGATCAAGAAATTCAACATCTTCCTTGCCTGTATATCCAGTTTGAGGCTAGCCTGGGCTCCAAAGATCCTGGCTTTATTTTGTTTTGGTTTTTTGAGATAGGGTTTCTCTGTGTAGCTTTGGAGCCTGTCCTGGAACTCGCTCTGTAGACCAGGCTGGCCTCAAACTCACATAGATCCACTGGCCTCCTACTCGCAAGTGCTGGGATTAAAGGCATGCACCACCACCGCCTGGCTTTGTGTGTTTTTTTTTTTTAATATGTAAAATGAAAAACAAACAAACCAATATAGTAAGTGCAGATAGAACCAGCACCATTCCAGCTTTGCATCTGAGAATGGCCGGGAAGATCTGGTGCTCTGACCATCAAACACCAGCTCAAATGCTTTCTGTAAACCGCAGGCTCTTAGCAGAGAGTGTGGCTAATAATAGCTGGAATTTACATTGTTAGTTGTGAGCAGTGTTAGTGCCAGAAGGTCAAGCCAGTCTGGGGATACAGTCACTTTGTAGAGTGCTTGCCTAGCATGCAGGGTACTATCCCAGCACCATAGAAACCAGGTGTGGTGGCCAGTGCCTACGACCACAGCTCTGGGGAAGTGGAGGAAGGAGAATCAAAAGGTCAAGGTCAAGGTCATCCTTGGCTACCACCGGGACCAACAACAAAAACTCCAACTCAGAGTCAAGTTGTCCTCCTGTCTCCCAGGTGTGGTTCCAGAACAGACGGGCCAAGTCCAGGCGCCAGAGTGGGAAGTCATTGCAGCCCTTATCATCCAGGCGGGAAGTGTTCCTCCACCGCTCTGCTCCTGGGACTGAAGAGAGATGTTTGAAGCCCCAGCTGCCTCTGGAGGCAGCAATGAACTGCCTTCCCGATGCCAGCAGGGCTGGAGGAGGCCACTGTGTGGCTGGTTCTCAAGGTCAGAGTTTTGACACCTATTCCCCTCTCTCCGAAGATATTGGCTCAAAGTTGGACTCGTGGGAAGAACATATCTTTTCTGCCTTAGGTAATTTTTGAGGATTCTGGGAGAGTTCACAATGTACTCAGAGGGGTCCGGGAGATAAGGACCAGAACGCTACCCCAACCCTGACTGGCCATGGCCTTGTTGATAATGCTTCTGGATTATTTCTCTTGAAGGTTTCTCCTCTTCACCGTGAGCCTTTACCCGTGGCTTGTTCTCAGTAGCCACCCATTCTTTCACTCAGGGGTACCTGTAAATCTCCAAGTCTGCGCATTCAGTTTGGTCCATAACCCCCTGTTCTATTCTAATTGTTCAGACTGATCGTTCAGAACTTGTTTTCTTCGTCAGGACCTTCAGCTTGATTCAATTTCCCCCTTTCCTTGGCAGCTGCTGTCTTCTCATGGCCCCTCCAGGACCTTCAACCTAGTCACTCATTCTACCACATCCTAACTCAACCCTAATCACCCAGATTTATCACCCTTTTTACGGAGTCCTTTTTGTTTTGTTCTTGACCTTGCTATATAGGTAAGGAGGAAGGACCCTGAGCTCCTGTCCTCCTTCCTTCGTCTTCTGAGCACTGGGATTGCTAGTGTGTGCCACCATGACTGGAGGCTGCTGTTTTTGTTTAAAATTGTATGATATGCAACAGTATATCTAAATCCAGCTGTTTGGCACACGTATGACCTCACTTACATGTATGACCTTTTTCTGTGGTGACACTTAGAATCCATTATTTTAGCCACTTTCAAGTATATGATATGTTGTTGCTAATTATAGCCATTACCATAGATTTCTTCAACTTATTCTTCCTACCTGAAACTCTGCATCCTGACCAGGGTCCCCTGCCCCTCACTTGACTGGTGTTTCATCTGGCCTGCCATCTTTACCCTCATCAGGAAGGACACTACATTCAAGTTCTTTTTTTTTTTTTTTTTTTTTTTTGGTTTTTCGAGACAGGGTTTCCCTGTAGCTTTGGAGCCTGTCCTGGAACTCCCTTGGTAGACCAGGCTGGCCTCGAACTCACAGAGATCCGCCTGTCTCTGCTTCCCAAGTGCTGGGATTACAGGCGTGTGCCACCACCGCCCGGCTTTACATTCAAGTTCTTTAAGGAGCCCCATGTCTCTCATTCCCCACTCACTCAGAAAAGAAATGGCTCTATTTAGAAGTCTCTGGTAGCCTCCAGTTATCAAACTGTAGAATCCTTTCAAGCATGCTCCCAATAAACGCACCATCCTTAGCTTATGTGAACCTTAAGATCATCCACCCACAGACGCTTCTCCGTCTCACCCATTCCTTTCTGGTTGGGACTCAGTGAAAAAACAGCGCAGACTCCTACCTTTCGGAAACCTAACCTTTCTCTATTATTATTAGTATTAATGTTTGTACCGGTTACTTTGACCACCATTTTTCTTAGCACTTGTTATTATGTTTCCGGTGCAACAGGAGTGGATTACTAAATGTTTCTCACTAGTGTCCTCACGTAGAAATGAACCCTGTTTTGGGGCAGCTCTTAATCATCGTACCTCGGTGCACAGCTGCCGAGCACATACTGAATGGCTGTGAAAACATTTCCAAGGGAAGTTTCTGCAAGTACAGTGCATTGAGAATTTAAGTTAAAAGCTTATTTGCTGGGCTGTTGAGGTGGCTCAGCAGGGGTAAACATGTTTGCCACCAAGCCCGATGACCCGAGTTAGATCCCCAGCATCTACTGTGGAAGGAGAGAAGTGATTCCTCAAGCTGGCTTCTGACTTCCACACGGGTGCTGTGGTTTGCACCCACACACATATGCAAAATCAGTAAATAAATCTAAGAAAAAAACTTTTAAAAAGCTTTTTGTATTGTTACTTTTCTATTGCTGTGATAAAACACCATGAGCAGGGCAGCCCAGAAAGCAAAGTGTTCAATTGGCCTTTCTTTCAGTTTCAGGTTAGTGTCTGTGATTGGGGATGGCAGGAAGAGCTCTCACCTGAAAATAAGGATGGCCTCAAAGCCAGAAAACACATCCTTCACAAGACCACACCTCCTAATCCTTCCCACCAACTGGGGACCAACATATGAGCAATAGGGGTTCAGGCCACCACGCTTAGTTTTGCTTGTTCAAAGTAGGTAACCCTCATGAGTATTATGGTTTCAGATTTCTTTCTAGCTTTGTATTCCCAGTATTTGTAAATGACTAAGTTAAGATCTGTTTAAATATTGATATGCTAGTTGGAGGGCTCACCATCAGAGCCTCACACCTAAAACGGTGACAGTTTAGATGACAGTTTAGCCCAATCGAGATGACGCAAATCCAGTGACAGGATGGAAGAGCTCTCGTCAGAATCCCTGTCAAGGAGAAGTGATCAGGGGCTGGAGAGATGGTGCAGCAGCTTAGAACACTTGCTGCTGTTGCAGAGGACCCAGGCTTGGTCCCCAGCACCCTCATGGTGGCTCACTGTCCTTAGCTCCAGTTTCAAATCTGATATTGTCTGGCCTCCTTGGGCACCAGACACACAAACGGTGCATATATGAACATACAGGCAAAACAGCCATGCACACACACAAAAAAAGAGAGAAAATAAGAATGGTTCATGGTCACAGAACTTAAACACAGCAATGATCACCATTCAAAGATAGGATGACTTCAGTCCACTCAACCTTCACGTCTCCTTTGTCACGTTGATCCTTTTAGTTAGGACTACGAAATGGAACCCATTTAAAAGAAGGCCCCTAATCAGAGCTTCCATATGCAAGCTATTATCTTTCAAAGTTGTCACGGAAAAACATACATTCATTCCAGTGACAATGGTGCTTAGACACTAACTGGCTAATTCATCACACACACGCCATTTAGTGCCTGTGGGCAGGCAAGGACTCAGTGTGTCATGAGGATTTAGAAATAAAATAGACAGCCGGGCGGTGGTGGCACACGCCTTTAATCCCAGCACTCGGGAGGCAGAGGCAGGCGGATCTCTGTGAGTTCGAGGCCAGCCTGGTCTACAAGAGCTAGTTCCAGGACAGGAACCAAAAGCTACGGAGAAACCCTGTCTCGAAAAATCAAAAAAAAAAAAAAAAAAAGAAATAAAATAGACAGTAAAGCCCAAAATAGTGCCCCCTTTATGGAGCAGAGGCAAATATATATGTGTGTGTGTGTGTGTGTGTGTGTATACACACACACATATATGTTGTGAGATATAAAATCAGAGTTACCGCTCATGCTGGGAGAGGTAGGTTGTCTGAGGCACTTCTGGCTGTGTTGTGGTCAAGAACTCCCCCTCTGGAAAGATCAGTTAGAATGGATGGAAGTTACGGTGAAGGGGAACAAAGGCGCTGTCTGTGGCCAAAGGACCCAGTGGAGAGGCAGTGAAGTGGAGGCTGGACTGGGCATGGCTCTGTAGGTCTGCTCAGACTTCTGAATTTGTCCTGGGGGTCATAGACTTTAAGGTATTCCTAGACAGGGATAACATGGCCAACTCTGTGTTTTAAGAAGCCACCCTGGCTGAATGTGGAGGTGAGTAGGTGCTGAGAGCTAAATGGAGGGAGAGATGGCTGTGATGTCCCAGCTGCAGACAGTGGCAGTGATGAAGACAGAGTCAAAGCTGCTGCGGAGGCCATGTCTGTAATCCCAACACTCGGGAAGTGGAAGCAAGAGGATCAAGAAGTTCAAGGCCATTTTCAGTTATAAGCAAGTTTGAGGCCAGCCTGGCTACATGAGACCTGAAGAGGGAGAAATTTGTTTCATGTGTGGTGCTGGTACCGTGGCCCTCACAAGCACCGTGTCTGAGCCTTGGGCCTCACACACGTGGGCAACACTCTGTTCCTGAGCCTTGAGCCTCACACACGTGGGCAAGCACTCTGTCTGAGCCTTGGGCCTGGCACACACTGGGCTAGCACTCTGTGCCTGAGCCTTGGGCCTCACACACGTGGGCAACACTCTGTTCCTGAGCCTTGAGCCTCACACACGTGGGCAAGCACTCTGTCTGAGCCTTGAGCCTCACACACGTGGGCAAGTACTCTGTCTGAGCCTTGGGCCTGGCACACACTGGGCTAGCACTCTGTGTCTAAGTCTTAGGCCTCACATAGGCCGGGCAAGCACTCGGTGTCTGAGCCTTGGGCCTCCTCACACATGCTGAGCAAGCACTCTGTCTTCAAGCAATCCTGAGGCCCCCTATTTAACTCTTTGAGACAGGGTCTCACCAAGTTGCCCAGACTGGTCTTGAATTCACTCTGTAGCCCGGGCTGACCATGAACTTGTGATCCTTCTGCCTCAGCCTCCCAAGGAGCTGGGATTATGGGCCTACCCTCACCAGGCCAGCTCAATAAAGAAAACTTAATAGGTATTATCTGCTTTTACATTCTCTGTTGGTTCCATCTGGGAGCTGCTGTAAAGCTGCAAATGCGTGCTCAGCACAGCTCAAAACGACTAGGATCACAGGACAACTAACAGAATCACTCCTTTCCTGGCACCACGTGAGTCCCAGGGATCAAACTCAGATTGCCAGACTGGCACTAAGCACTTCTCACCTGCTGAGCTATCTATCTCACCAGCCCTCTGAAACATTTTAAACAGAATTAATGATCAACTTGTAATAAAATGAGAATGCAGATATTAAATTTCATAGATCGATTTATTTAGAATTACAAATATTAAGAATAAAAGATTTATGCATTTCTTAATTAACATAACAGTTTAGCTAAATATAAACTCTGCACTAAAGATCTGCAGTGGCCCAATACCAACAAAGAACACGGAAGCGCTTTTAAACTATACAAAAATTTCAAATGGAAAATAATCTTATTTCAGTTTTATTGTACATTAATATACAAAAAGCCTCATTTTATGAGACATCAAAGAATCAGAATCACCTCTATAGTTATATTTTAAACTCCAATTCTGAAAACAATTATAGTTTGGCTTTATAATATTCTATATTAAAACAAAATTTTTAAAATACATACTTTTTACAAGATTATTTTAGGCAGGGTTTTTTCTTAAAAAAAGAAAAAACAAAACAAGAAAAAACTAAAACAAAACCTCTCTCTGTAATTCAAACCGGTCATATGCTTTCCTTATAAAATATTTTTACTTTATAAATTGTGTACTGTTGGATTTTAACCAGTAATCTGGTTTAAAGTTGTGCAAATAAACAAAAAATATGAAAATAGTGTATAATCAGTCTTTTTTAAAATAAATCTAACAATAGCACTTTTTGCCCTGAATCATGGAAAGGCATGCCAAGTCCGCTTGCCGAAATCCAGCATTCCAGAATACAGTTCTTCCCACTCCTTCATTTT